GCTTCGAACCACTTCACCACGACCTCGCCTGGGAGGGAGCAGGGAGGCCGTGAGAGGGCAGGACGCCCGGGGCGAGGGTTAGCCAGGGCCGCACGGACCCACGACACGGGCTGCACCATCCGCCCCTGCTTCCCGCGCCTGGCTGCGGCCTCATCCCACGCCAGGATGAGCCTCGTCACGCACCACCCACCCTCCCCGGGGAGCAGCACCCGCAGTCGATGCCCCACGAGCTTGGGAAACACCTCCTGGGCGGGCTGGCTCTCTGCAGAGCTTTAGCAAAGCCATAGCTGAAGCCTGATCCCCCATCCCACTCTTCCCATCTCTCAGCACGGGACAAACGCCGCCAGGTCCCAGCCAGAGCCTGCGTAGGAGAGCGGACGCGCCGGTTCCCGCAGGCTCACCAGCAAGGCTCGACTTGCTGCTGAGTCAGACGCAAAACGAGGGCAAAGGACAAGAGGACGAGCAGATAAGGAGCAGCCAGGAACCCCCAAACGCCTGCCTTCACCCAGAGCTTGCGAAACATCCCTCCCTCGGTGCCACCCTCGCTGCCAGGCAGCAAACACCCACCCACCCAGCAGCCGCCCACACCCAGGGTCAGGCAGAGCATCTTCCAGCAGAGGAAAGGTGACATCCCGCCCGCCCTGGGTCACCACAGAGCCAGTGGTGCAGGACGGCGATGATGCAAACCTCTCCAGGCCGAGGATCGGGGAGTCCGACCGGCCCAGCCCGCTCCGTTCCTGGGAGAGTCGGCCGAGGACCATCAGCAGGGTTTGGCCGCGCAGCACCCTGAGCCCGCTGCTGCTCACCTAGCATGTTGGTGGGCATGCCCAGGAGGGTATGCATCAGGTCATGGACTTCTCGGTACCGCTGGATCACGTACGCCAGCTCTTCATCATCAACAAACTTGGGTGGCATTCGGGTGTCCGGAGAAACCTTCTGCAAATGCAAAAAGGCCAAATTCAGCTCCCTCCAAACCTCAAGTTTCTGGCCTTGTTCTTTAATACACAGCAATATATGGTCCTCTCCAGCAGCACATTCCAGCCCTCAGTGATGGGAGTCATTATCATTTACACAGATGAAAAACAAGGACTGCGCAACACCAGTGACAAATCCAGCATCGCCCAACACCCAGCATCTCATCCCGCCCCCCACTCATTCCCGGAGGGCTTCCCGCAGGTTCTTCCATGGCTCCAATCTCCCCCTAAAGCACATCGTGGTGCAGGGATGTGCCCATCTATAACCACAACTACAGCCACGTACGCCCTGCGAAGCCCCACACTCACATTGTCCTCCAAAAAGCGGACATACTCTCGGCCCAGCGTGCCGTCCGGCAGCCCCCGCAGCCTGGCCATGTCCAGAGTGGAGAGACGGATACGAGGTCGTTCCCTGAAAGTAAAACACAGGTCAGTGAACCTCCCAGTGAAACCCACAGTGTGGGGTCCTGGAGAAAAGGAGCCCCTGGAAACCCTCATACCCTGCTTCTGCCCTTCCTGGGTATTTTCCTTGCGTGGATCCTGACTGATTGCTGCAGCGATAGCCCTATCCTGAGATTGGGACAAAGGCTGCTTAAGGGATCTACCTTTATGGCCTGGGCAATAAAAGAGCTCTCATGTCTGTCCAACTCTGGAAAAATACAGGTGACCTCTGCACCGAAAAGCTGCTGCGTGGGCTGAGGGCCAGGCACAGCCCCCTGCAAGAGCCACCCCCTGGGTAGCAGAGCCCTTCAACATCCCGGCAAAGCACCCGGAGCTTCAAAGGAACAATCCCAAAGAGGGGAGGGAGTTTGTTCAGGTTTAATTTCTCTCCTACTCAAGGTTTCATCACCCGCCACGTGGCAGCCATGCACAGCCAGTTCTCCTCTCCAGGCTCTTGGCAAACGGGTGCCCCACAGCCCTGGAACTAAACAATAGCTCTTTTATTTCCACATGCAGGATAAACTCTTCCCATGATAGAAGCCCTGCGGTGGATCCAGGAGCTGCTCTGCTCCTGGAAGGGAGGTGCCAGGGAGATAAGCAGGACTAGTACCAGCCTCACCTTGCAGACACTTGATTGTGTATCTGGCGAGAGAGGGACCTCAGCAGCTTGCAAAGCAGAAATCACCCCACTGCAATTCCCTGCACCACCACGGGGCAAGGAGCAGGCTGGGGACATGTCTCCCCAGCCCTCGGTGCCTTTGCTCCCCCTTTCCCTGGGCAGTTCCTCCAGGTCTCAGCCCCATCCTGGTGCTCCACGTGCTTTACTGGGTCAGTGTCTGGAGCCAGGATTGGGCCGCTGCGCACAAACATACGATAGAAATCCTTCCCCAGCCCCTCCGTGGTACAGCCCAAGCAGCACACAAGCAACCAGCGTGACACCTAACAAGGAGCAGGGAGAAGGCAAGCAAATAGTAACATCTTGGTCAATAAGAGACTCACGAAGTCCCTCCTCACCCTCAGCCTTGTTGCACTCAACAAGTCCCTGCAGACACAGAAGTAAAAGTGATCAAATCTTAAGAAAGAAGATGAGAAGTGGCCTCATTTCGCAGCTTGGGGAGATGCTGTGAGGGCCAGGAAAGAAAATACAGAGATGACTAAGGAGAAGGCAGATCAGCGGAGATAAATTCTCCAAGACAAGGAGATGCAGCAGCAGGGGCAGGGGAGAAATCCCTGGACATGCTGGGTTTTCAGCGCTGCATCATCCGCCACATCCATGGATTTCTGCCCTGCGCCTGCTGCATCATCTCACCTCGGCGCGTGCCAGTCCCAGCAGTGAAGCAGAGCGCGCAGACAGCAGTGCCTGAAACTGTCTAAGGCCCTTGCCCTTAGACTTGCCACGGGGCTCTTGCGATCGTTAAAATAAATTAACAGAAACAATCTGGAGCGTTAGAGCTAACAAAATGCTTGTGCAACGTTCAAGCTAGGGAGTGCAGGGCTCTCCCTTAGGGACCCAAGGAACGTCCTTGGCCTTGTGTGTCACTCCCCACACAAACCATGCGGCGAGGGAGGGAGGGGTGCGGAGGGACGCACTGGAGGATGCGGTAACCTTCGGGGTGGTGTTTCATCTTGTCTCGCAGGTTGGGCAGGGCCAGGCAGCCTGTGGTCTCCCCAAGGACAGCCACCATGTCTGAAAGAGAGACCGGAGAGTGACCCAAGAGTGGCTTTTGCAACACCCAGCTGCCCTCAGTTGGCAGGTGAGGAAATGGGGTACAAACCCCGTGGCCGGGAGTGGGCAGGAAGCCTGTGGCAAGGCAGGGACCCCATGAACCTGCACCCTCGGGGCTGCTCCGGCCTGGTGACGCCGACGGGGAGGGACGCAGGAGCAGGCGCGAGGCCTCGGGGACTACGAGAAGGAGACGGGGCTGGGTGACATCACAGGGGTCATCACTGGAGGGCGTTTGGGGGCTCCTCACCCCCTCTCTTCCACAGCCTCCTACCCTGGGCCAGCTCTCAGCCCTGCACTTGCCCCATTACTACATGTCTCGCCCACCAGCACGAGAAATCAAGACCCAGGAGGAACTTCCGGGAGGAACTCCCAGGAGTCACGGGGCGGGATGACCCGGACCCTGGGTGCACGAGCCCCCTGACCCGGCTTACCGTGT